TGTTTCCTGGTAACATGAATAAAAGCTCTTTTATTTAAGCTTCTGTTGTGTTTGTGTGGATCTTGTGCGTCCCATCTGCATATTTCTGTCTTTCTGCTCATTTCTTGTATGAAAACATTGCAAAGGGGCAAGAACACAGAATAGATCTTAAACAGAATATTACCTCTCTATATATAGTGTGATGTTAACAATACCGTTTGCTGAAGCTTAAATGGCCATTAATGTTTTCTATTGTAGTTCAGATAGATTGTATAATATACAGTTTTTAATCGATATAAAATGAAAAACATTCTATCATTAGAACATGTTGTATATCACAAGAGAAATGGTTAACATTAGTTGGTAGAAGCAGCTGGTTGTTGATCTACTGGTTGGATGGTCAGCTGGTTCAGAATGCAGCTCAAGTGCTTTATTTACTATAACCAAGAAATATGATATCGGCCCAATGTTATCATTTTTTCATTGGTGACCTGTCAGGATTTGTATTAAATTGTGTGCATTGCATACTAATTGATTGTTCAAGCCCTCATTATCGGAGTAATTTATCACAGTCACTAAACTGTTGCCGGTTTTTAACAATATCGAGATCCACAAAAAGAGGCAGAGCACTTTCTCCCCAAGACTGATCAGCACTCACACGCAGTCTAGATCTGTTTTTAGTCAAACACTGGGCCTTTTTTGTCTTCTGGTCTTTTGAAGTGCAGTACTGTATGGAAAGTATCTTTAAACAAAATATGAAAAATAATCAAATCATCCTGTTCAAAAGTTTACACCCCCTGATTCTTAATGCAAGGTCTATATTTAGGCTGTCAGTTGAATAAAAAATTGCATATATAAAATGTATATGCATAAATATTCTGTATTATCGGCTTTCATTGCACACCACAAACATCAAATGTGACCGGTCCAGCTCTGAACTGCTAAATAGACTTATTATAAACATGAGCTTCCTGAATTCCTGTCAGTCTGAATAAAAGCCACAGAAATGCAGCTGACTGAACGCTTACAGTAGAGCGTTAGAGGATTACAGACAATAACAGTGAGGAATCTGAGACAGAGAAACCAGATCAGACCACCTGCAGAACTACACAAACTCGGACTGAACCGGATGTGCTTATAAAAACTCCACAATGCATTCTGATTGAATAAATCTCTGTACAGAAGTGACTAGCAAACAAACACAGAGAAACTCTTCTGAGGTGAAGCGCAGCTCTGTCGGTGTTAAGCGAGAGCTGCTTTAGTCCTCCAGTCCTGCGTGAGCACATGCTCCAGCTCCTGCTGTCTCGGAGACGAGGTCTTAAATGATCTCAAAAACAACAAAATTACAGATGCATATGACAGATATTTAAAAAAAATAAAATAAATGTGTACGTTTAGATCTGTCAGTTTTGGACTTACCACAGTATATACACTGAAATCAAAGCATGTGTTCATGATAAGAAAACACAGTTTATTCAAACACACACACACTCACACACACACACTCACACGCACGCACACACTCTCACTCACACACACACTCTCTCACACACTCACACTCACACACACACACTCACACGCACGCACACACTCTCACTCACACACACACTCTCTCACACACTCACACTCACACACACACACTATGAACATTCAGAAAGCTTAAGCGAGCCTCATAACAGGGAACAGAACAGCATATATTCACAGGTAAACTCAACAATCGATCAGCTGTCTGATGCAGAAATCTCAGGACAACATTAAGATCAACTCTGTAAGTGTCCTGCAGGCTATTGTGTGTAGATGCCATTCAAAACATGTACTGTAAATACTCTACTGTATGATACCTGTATGTAAAACTCAAAAGATATTTCTAACCAAGTAATTAGTATGTAAAGTACTTTTGTCTGTGCAGTGCTTTCCATCAACGGAAAACAACTATTTCCAATCTGAAAAAACTAATAAATTACAATATGGAGCTTCTTGTAACAAAAACATGTATGAAGCAGTGTTAACCAGCCCTGATCTGAAAGTGAAATCAATGCCTGAAAGTCAGCACAGGTCCGGAAGAACAATCAGTCCATTCCCTGCTCTCTCAGCGTCCTAATAATAATAATAATAATAATGGTTTAAACATTCAAAACGCCACTGTTAAACATAACCAACCTATTGTACGGATGATGTATTGAAACTAACCAGGGCTGCGTTTCTCAAAAGCATTGTGAGCTGAGTTGGTTGTAGACTGTTGGTGCCACTGCTGCTACAATCTGCTCAGGCTTACAAAGCTTTTGGGAAACGCAGCCCAGTTATTTATGATGTGAATGCTTTCCCAGTCTGTGATGCTGGAGAGCATGAGATATTCTCTCACCTGCTGAACAGAAGCAGCACAGATGTTGCTTCTAACCTAGAACTGCTCGTGCAGAGCCAGACAGCATCATATTCACAATACCGTGACGTCTGTGACCACATTAGAAGCTTCTGGTGTGCGTTCTTATGATGAATGGTGTTGCACATCATAAAGATACAGGTTGAAGCTGCCATATTGTTTCATTGTATTCATTCAGATCGTAATGCAGATTTTCAGTTTGGTGAGATTCAGTGAAGTCTGGCGTTCCTCTGTTGACCTGCTCAGGAAACAAATTAAAGCATAACACATGCCAGGATCTGATGACCACTGCTTGTGTCCAGACGCTCAGATCTTCCTCAAAGGGAGGACGTCTCTATAATGGAACTAATCTTAGGGTTTCACATCTTTGAACGCACCTTGATCTGAATGTTTCTCCCCTGAGAGAGGTTGAAATGATGCTGAACCCTGAGAAGCTGTGCTCGGAGAAGCTGTGCTCGGAGAAGCTGTGCTCTGAAAAGAGTCATAGTTGAGTTCCTCAGAGACTGATGATGTAAGGTGTCACGCTTCAAACCAAGGTCTCAGAGTAATCCTGGACTTTCCTCCATCTCTGTGTGCAGTTCCTCTGGGCATCACTGGAGGCTTTGAGTGTCTGACAAGGGCAGTAAAAATAGTCCAGACATGCAACACATCCAACATCTAGGATTCGGACAGATTCAGAAAGCTCTCCCTGGTTTTTGTTTGACTTGCTGTAGATGAGCAATTTTTCAACAAAGACTCTGAAGCGACTGATAGCAGTAACTTTATCTGCAGCGTGAAGCTTGCTTTGAAAGTTCCACTAGATCAAGAAATGTGGTTACACAGCTTACCTAACCCTATCCTAGCACAGAGGCTTTAATGTTACCGATCATTGTGGTTTTATACTCAGCATGGATGCCTCATCCATTAGCACAGCTATAGTTTGATTGAGGAATCAACGATGTTGTTCACAATTGAGCATAGCATTTCTTACGCAGCTCTGAGGGCAGAATTTGTCCTACGAGATCTACGAGTGCTTCATGACCTGTGAAGGCTGCTTTACGATCTTGAATTTGTTCCATAGTGAACATAAAATAATGTCTTAGTTTTTATTGTTGCATGGAACTTTGAATTTGAATATAGACCACTATATTCACTACATTCAATATAGATATAGGCCACTCAAAGCTGGATGTCTTGTTCTTTAAAAACCCCTGATTATGCTGCATTAGAGCAGATCTGTCACGGAGAAAACCCATGAACTCACTTTCCCTTATTTCATTACATTGTTTGATTTTAACTTCCTGTTCTACTCTGTTAGTTCACTTCCTGCTGGTCTGGTTTCTGCCTCTGACTTTTCTAATGCATTTGAGCAGAACTGGCCTACATTTCTTCTCTTACTCTGGACACTAAATCATGACAATCATTACAAATCAGAATTAGATCATTAGAAACAAGTTATTTGGCCATTATGCAAAAAAGAAAATCAATAAATTCAACACATGTGACTGAATATATTCTGCATATGAAAGGTTTTTATTTATTTATTTTTTTGTAAATATTGTAACTATATGAAACGGTGTTTGTTTTTTATTTTTTATAATTTTTTAGCTTGACAGCGCTTGAAATGAAAGCCTGAGCGCTGGATCTGTGTCGGGGTGATGATGATGATGATGATGATGATGATGAAGATGATGAAGAGGAGGTGCTCGGTGTGGCCGGCAGGGAGAGTGAGAGAGAGACTGAGTGCTTCTGAGGGAGTTTCAGCTTCAGTCCTAACACAGCACTGCTGCAGTCTTCTACAGAGCTGCCGTTATGATTGCGAACACGGACTCGATGCCGCGGGTGCTGAGCCGGGCGCTGCTGCTCTCGCTGCTCTCGCTGCTGCTGGACGCGTCGCAGGTAACGCTGCACTGAGATCATGCGACAGACGCAGATAAACACATACCGCCGAGGGAAGCGCGTTTATTATGTCCTCATGGAAATGTAGATTAATATCAGCGATCATCAGAAGAGTGCGGGACTTACATCTTATTTGCACTTTACCATAAAATCAGTTCTTTCACTTTAATGCGAAACATCCGCAGTTGTGGGCCTCCGAAGCTTATACGCATAACATTTATTAGGCTTATCAAGTTTACTACGGTTACTAGAGTAGATCTGTGGTAATGTTATGTTAGGTAAACTGTACCTTTACTTTCATTGCTGTCTGAAAATTCAAACGTAAAATCAGTTACAATCACGTTTTCAAGTTTATCACACTTTTCAAGCACTTTGACTCGTTATTACTGAAGATTGTTTTTAGTTAACATGACAGATATTATTCTCACACGTTACATGAGAACACAGATTCTGTTACCAAAGCAGAATGATGAAAATAAAACTACTGTCATCAGTTAGTCATTCAGTCAATTATGCAATAAAAACAAGTTTGCTGGTCTGAAGGAGATCCACTAATCATTTATTCATTTATTTACTACTTTAACCAGAAGCAGGAGTGTTAGTCTAATAGTCTTTATACCCGAGTGTGTGAACAGCAGAGACTGAGGCGTGGTTGTGGATCTGTGTGTTGATGGTTGTGTTCTGGTCTTGCAGTCGGGCTCAGCGGGCGTCTGCAGGCCGGGCTTCTCTGAGGACCTTTACACCGCAGTGATGCCCGAGCGAGTTCTGCCGGGCCGGGCCCTGATCACGGGTAAAGAGACCGGACCAGCTCACACACAACAGTGTCTGCAGGCTTACTTAGTGCAAGTCAAAAGTGCCAAAGTGAACACAATGTAGAGAAAAAAAAAAAAAAATTATATATGGAAAAGCAGCACAAAAAATATAGAAAAATATAAATACAAATGTAAATAATAAATTAAAATGTATTATTATATATTTTTTTTGGTTCTGTTTTCTCAAGCAAAGGGTTTTTATAGTTTCTAGTAGGGTGTCAAACGCTATCTCACTTCAGAAACTGTGATCTGCTTCTGTGTTTTATAAAAGCACTTGATCAAACTGCTTACAGTAATTTACTTCTAATCTATTATGTTCATCATTGATTTTACAGTCACTGAGTTTGATTTTGGTCTATAGATGTTTCTTATCGTTGAACATATGCAGTGTGGATCTATATTTGCAATGCAAACATATATGAGTGTCTGCCGTGAACATAAGATTGGAGAAGTGTGTAGACTCTTATTAACAATGCTGTGGCATCTTCTGCATACAGTGGAGGAAATAGCTGAGATTCACTGGGTCTATTCAAATATAAATGCCTCTATAATACTCTATATAGTAATAGATAGTGATGCTATGTTTATTTCTGTCTCCTGTAAATGAAAGATGTTCAAACTGGGCTTCAGGTCCAGTGAGCTGATTCTAGGAGGTCCATGGACGTTTTCAGGAAAAAAAAAACTTGCTTTGGTCTCATATTTATTGTGAAGGCGTCTATATAGTTTTTAACAATGATCAATACTTATTTTTCATTAGTAGTAGCATTTTCTAGATAATATTTGAATGATTTTCTAGTGCAGAGACAGCATAAATGATGCATGCATGTGTGGATCTGGATTTGTGCGTGTTTGTGGATCCGTTGAGTGAGTGTGTTGGACGTTATGATTCGGTTTTCACTCTGTCGTGTCTCATCTGTAAACCTGACTTCTCTGGATAGACATCATTATCAGACAGCCTTTACCAACCTGGATCATACACCCAGCATTTCTTCTGTTCAAATTGTTGGCCAAAATTCTGTCTGTATGCTCCATATTTGCATGCTACTCGTACTATTTTGAACTCATTACCTGTAATTGTCTGACATAACTGGTGTGAGTATTTGGAAATGACAGCAGTGATCAATCAAAGATTAGTGCCAGATTTACTAACAGCTTACAAACCCTCTTTTGGCATTAAACATCTGCTGTCAGGATTGACCAAAGACACTGAAGGCAGTGAAACATTAGCGATGAAAAGACATGAATAGTTATTTTTGTGACTGATATTATTGCATATGCATTTGTAGGAGTTTCCCTTTCAGAGCCAGCATTTATGAGAGAAGAGGCATTAACTCAAGCATGCAGGCTGATTTTCTAAGGTTTGCTCCAGTCAGTTTATTGGGTTTTGTGCCATTATTTAAAGCCCAGTAAAGCATGTTTTAACTCATTATTTGTGTCTGTGTCACACACCTGATTATCATCGGCTATGCTCGTTTGCGAGGCTAATTTGCACTGCTCTTGGTAGATTGTGTTTATGGGAATAATCAGCGTCTGTGTTCTATAATTTGATCATTTGATGCAGTGATAAAAGCAGCTCAGGCGGTCTGGCTCCGTCATGGAGTCTCTGCAGGTGAAGCTGGCTTTCTGTGAGGATTGTTTAGCATGTGTGGTCCTGTCTGTGTTTGTTTGTTTAATTGTTGCTCAAGGGACGTTAATAAAGTGGGTCTGATGAATTCCTGCTGTGGTTTGTGGAGTCTCATTCCAGGTTCATGTGCTCATTGAGACGTGGCTTATAAATATAGCAGCCGTGTGTGCTGTCACTGGAGAATGTACTGGCCAGTCTCAGAAATAGCAGCTTATCTAATCGCTCATTACTTTATCACAGAGAGGTGGTTATTAATCTGACACGGAGCTGATAATGCAGCGCTCTCAGTAAGTGGGTGTGGGTGGACACGGGAATGAAATGTGACGCTGAATCAAACAGAGATGCTGTAGAAGCTGGAGTTACGGTATTTCTCAGGATGGTCTGAGGTTGACAGTGTTGTTGACTATCACTAATATTCCTGTTATAAAGTTTCTGTTTAGTTTGTTTCTTCTGATTAAACTTAAGAGTCAGTGTTGTGGAGCGACTTGTCTCTCTCTTTGAAGTATCAGTCAAGACACACAGTTCAGACTTTATTGGTGGAGACCAGAAAGCCAAGATGCCGGCAGGACACTCGCAGTTTACACTTTTATACAGAGATGATTGTGACCAGTTGTCTCATTTGCAGCTGTTCTCCTCCTCAAATCTCCTCAATACTCTCTAATTCTCCCAGCATGGTCGCCTCATTAATTGGTCTCTTGTTCTCTTTGTAAGGGAGGCAATATGCCAACTAGCCTATGTGCAAACATATCACAGAGTGATTATTCAGTGTGTTTGCCTAGACCATGTTTGATGAAGAGCCCTTGGTATAAGTGCAGACATGCAAGCTCAGCGGAAACGAGACATACGGTGTTAAATCACCAATCATGGCTTCATTCAGGCTATCCTACAAACATATCTTAGATGTCTGACAAACACACACCGTATCAGTGATTTGAGATTTGGTGAAGTTCTGTGTTCTGTGGTGGAACATACTAAACTCATCAGAAATGAGCGGACTTACAGCTGTGGTGATATATAGCAAAGAATTTTCTACTTAAGAAATACTAAAGAATAATTTTTAGTAAATTAAGATAAACTTAAGATCATCTAAGTGTGCTCAACTGTGCTTCCTTGAATATGCATTTAAATGTGCTTTTAACATACTTTCTCCATATTTAAAAAGTCACCACTTGTAGTACACTTGAACCCACTAGTGTATGAAAGATGAGTTCAAGTGTGTTGGTGACTAAATACATTTTTTTTTTTACAGAGAAATTATTTTAAAAGCACATTTTAGTTCATATTCAAAGTGTCCCAAAATAGCATAGTTCAGTACACTTTGATGTTCTTAAGATTATTTTAATAAGTACTAAAAAATATTCTTTAGTATATTAAGTACAAAATTATTGCACAAAAATAGAGCACTTTAAGCACATTATGGAAGTGCACTGTTTTTTCCACTGGGAAGTCTGAATACATGGCCTGCGTCCCAGCGTGCATACTATCCATCCTAAATTCTATGTGATATTAGTAATTTTCAAAACTATTTAGGGCAGATAGGGTGGATAGTATGCACATTGAGATACTCTCTTCTGAACTCTTCTCTCACACAAACCTGTTCTTCATTAAAGCTCCTGGTGAAGGCTTGCCAGATACCACAAAAAAGAACCCTGTTCGAATATATATATACAGAAACCCCAGTTATTGTGCTTCGAAAACAAGCCCCTCACAAACACTATAGAAAAAGAGAAAAAGTCAAAACCCTACCTGTCATGTTACCGGTCTTGTGTTTGGACTTTTGTCTCATGCCTCGTGTGCCAAGTCGATCTGTAGTCCTGTTGTCATTGGTCCCCTTGATTGCTTCTCCAGGTGTGTCTTGTTATCTTGTTAGCATCTCTGTGAATAAATAGCTCAGTATTTTAGGCTGCGTTTACACGTGGCATTAACATGTGATCACTAGGTCACAATATGATGCGTATCACGATACGGGACTGCACTGAATTGTAGTGATGAAAAACCAAGGCTTTCTGAACCGTTTGAGGCTTTCATCAAATCGTGCCGAAAAACGGTTCATTACTCGAAGCTTTTTAACACGGTGCGCATTAGCGACATCTGGTGGCCAGACTCGGGTTCTCCAGCCTCTCTAACGAAACATCGCGGAGCAGATCGGTTTGAAAAATATTTTAATCTGTGCCAACTCCTGTCATGCGCAGTCCGGTCAGCGGATTCACATATTGATCAATAATATAAAATATACAAGTGTGTGATTATAATTAATAAATGACGTGAGTAGTAGCAAAAATATTTTGGGTGAGCTGTTCGGGGTCTCTGAGACCCCAGCTAGAACATGATAAAATGCAATAGAGGTGTGACGTGCATTCAGTTTCTGTCTGGTGTTGAGGTTATTCTAAACTATTCTACTGAATCCCAAATAAGTGTACACACACACACACAACCAAGTCAATGTAAAGTCAAACACAAGAGTCATGCGAAGCGCCGATTGTTTCAGACCAGCTGTCCCGATCTTCCGATACTGCATGAGGTTCCAAGCTTCAAACGTCATCAGTCACGTGGTGTTGTCATTTCGATACAAGCATCGGCACAGTGTGTGATACAATAGTGCTTTGAAAACTGCGTCGGAGCCTCGGTGTCAATCGTCCCATCACTACTGAATTTCACCTGAATTGCACTCGTTCTAATAAATTTATATTGTAATGTACTCATTCAAAATTTGGTAGGTTATCACTGCACAAATCACCACAGTCTCTACGTTTAAAAAATAAAAATTAGAAGAGTTCTAAACTAATGCGCCGTCTTCACTGTATCTCACGCACACGTTTAGTCACACAGATCATGCTGCACGCTAGCACAGACATTTCTTTTTAGCACTCAGACAAACTTTTTATCTCTGCCCCGCGTGCACATGGTTGCCAGGTTGACAAAGATAAGTAGCACATATTATATTTAGAGAAGGGTATAACTGCAGCCTGGAGATCTCCAAATGGGGGCGGGAACTCCAAAATAGGGCGTGGCTTCCTCCCATTGACAGACAGGCACATGACACGCATGCGCAATTTTCCCAAATCCAATTCAGTGCAAACACCACCCCACAGCTGATTCTAAAGTTTTTATTGGTTGTCAATTAAGGTGTTGATTTCCTACACTATGCTACAAAAAATGCTAACCCCTAAACCTACCCCACACCTGACCCTAACCTTAACCAGCGAATATGGCTGCACGGCGGGATTGGCGTAGTATGGCCTGTAGTTCTTCTGACAGTTATATATATATATATAATTTGGGTTGTTACTGACATCTGGGGAAATTTCAAGTCAACAGCAGCTTTAGAAATATATTTACTGAGAAAAATGGTGATGTGTTCAATACTTAATTTAGCCGCTGTAAATTGAACCAAAAACTATCATAACATCTTAGTTAATAATTCAGTATTTGACAAAACATCCCATGTTTCGGTAGTGACAGTAACGCTTTGGTAGCAACCACATCACATTACAGAATTTTAACTCACATACTAAAACACTACTAAAACACAAAAAAATTGCAAAGCTGAACTAAAATTTTGTTTATTTCCCCCAAATATGAGGACTATGTGTTCCCTTTTGTCACTACCGAAACAATGATAACATGTAATGACAATTCTATGAAAAAACAAAGATGTCACTACAGAAACTCCACCAAATGTTATGGTAGTGACAATTCTAGATACTTTTGAAGCTAGCTCAAAGATGCTAATCAACACATGGTTAACTAGCACAGTTCTGAACAGTGGTATACATATAAAAACTAATTCTTATGGAATAACTCCCAAAACAGTGTGCTTAATTTCAGAAAAAATTTTCGGTAGTGACGTTCCTTAAGGTTACACAGATTTTTCACATTTTGGAACACATTTACCTCAAAATGATGGGACCTGTGTACTCACACCTTGTAGCTATGAGAGAGGGACACAGGAATATTTCCTGATCATAAACACATTTTGTTACATAAAGTTTCATAGTTTACAAAGAATATATGGTTCGGGACAGCCACCTCCCAATCGATGATGATTTTATATATATTAAGCTTACTAACATTTTAAATATTAATGTGGGTTTCAATAGATAATAGAAGGATCTTAATAAACAACTAAGATTTATTACTTCAATGGTTTTTAAGTGTGTTTTTGGTTGGACAGTAGTTTGCACCAGTTCTGTAGAGTGGCCCATAAACACCTGCTGTATAAAGGCCTGCAGCCTGTGGCCTATAGATTTAATATGAAACTATAACTAAACCGTGAGCATTTGTGTGAAAGCATGTAATTTCTGTTGGCACTGCTGTTATCTATTCTGCTGGACTGTGATCATGTTGAGGGTGTCTAACCGTTTGTGATGTTCATGCCATCAAAAGCCATACTGGTGGTAGAGAGATGCTGTATATTTGAATGCAAATCACTTCTAAATGTGAATTTTCTCATTGTTTTGGAGCACACTAGCTCATAGAAAACCTTAAGACTAACAAATTCATACAAACAGCCAAAAAGTGTTGTTTTCATGTGAGCTTTAAGTGTTCTCGTGGGTGTTCAGGACGGGAATTTTCCTGCACAGTTGTTAGCATACTTCTCACACTCCAGATGATTCCTCACCGATAACATCAAGTCTAACCCTAGAATACATTTTAACTGCTGATTTTAACCTTTATTTACAGCAGTAGTGTGTGTCTGACAGATGATATTTCATCAGTACAGTGTGAAGTGCACATCATCACTGCCGCTTCTTGTCTTTATTCTTCTCTTTGAATTTTTCTCTTCCCTCTTTGCTGGAGTTTAAGGTGTGTATCGCTGTCTTTCTCACTACAAAGGGGGGCCTGTTTGTGTTCGGGCTGCCAGCTCACTGAGCAGTATTCAATGCCTCTTTTATTGAGCCCTGGTCCTCCCTCGCTCTCTGTCTCTGTGCCGGGCTTGTTTTGCTCATTATAGAGGCCGAATGCACTGAGAATCAGCCTCGTATTCATCACAGAGAAAGGAAAAACACATTCTCCAGCAGGCCCGCCGTCAGATCTCTCTTTGTTTTCTCTGATGCTGGAGGGTGTGGGTCCTCTTGGCACGGCTGTGTGTTATTTCAGCGCGGTGTCAGGTTTCATGGCCGGCACTGCTTGTCTCTGAGTTTAGGATCCTAGCCGCTCAGAGACCGGTGTAATACATCATCCAGACGTGACGTGTGTCGTGTGTGTCGGGCGAATCAGAGAAAGGCTGATTGTGATGGAGGCTGATAGTATTTGACCCTGGTGAAATAACCATCCTTTCCTCTTTCATAGTTCTGTACCTGAACTTATTCTGCACACAGTTGTCCAAACTGAGCATGACTTTGTTTCATAGAAACCTGGTGCTTCTACAGAAGGCTGATGGTGTTTCATTGCTCTTCTGGATAACCTGCTTTCTTTCACACAGCCGTATGTCATTCCTCGTCCCTCTAATACCATTAGGCCACAACTGCCCCACAATGAATTCTTGTTAAAAAGCTAATTGTTTCAAATGATGACCAATGTTTAACGTGTGTGTGTGTGTGTGTGTGTGTGTCTGTGTGTGTGTGTGTGTGAGTGTGAGTGTGTGTGTGTGTGTGTGTGTGTGTGTGTGTGTGTGTGTGTGTGTGTGTGTGTGTGTGTGTGTGTGTGTGTGTGAGAGAGAGAGAGAGAGAGGGAGAGAATGTGCGATTTGTAAACAGCAGGATGGAGAAGGAGGAGGAAACAGTCAGTGACTGTGTGTCTATGAGACAATTCAGAAATACATGAGAAGAAGGGAGACAGATGGAGTCAAATACATCATCTCACATACTGTAAACAGAGGCCTGGTGGAGACTGACAGATTACTGTAACCAACCCTTCATCTGAACAGATCAGTTACAGTAGAGATTCAGTCATATGGTACAGCGAGAACATTTACTGTATTAAACTCTGCTCTTTACAACACCTCGTGGCCGTGTCATACCTTCCTCACTTCTTCTGATGACACTCCGGACAGACAGTATTACAAACATTACGGACTTCAGCTCAGTTACCAGAGTTAGGTAATGTCAGTGTATTTTCTAGCATGACAGCTATAGTCTGTATTACTGTAACAGCTTTAATTCCTAGCAAGACGTGTGAGGATGTGCAATAACAGATCTGCTCTGATGCAGCGATCAGATTCATCATAAAAAAATAACTCCGCAAGTTACTTGCATTTTTATGTTTCAAACACAGATAACCATAGAGAGGCAAAAATTACATACTGCAGCTTTAAACGACAAAGGGCCAAATTTACTAACAGCTTGCAGCAGCGCAAACCCTTTCTGGTTTTAAGAAACTACAGTCAGGATTGACTGAAGACATGCAGTGAAACATTAGCGATGAAAAGGTGTGTGCACAGTTATTTCAGTGGCTGATTTTATTGCATATGCATTTGTAGGAGTTTCCCTTTCAGAGCCAACATTAATGTGAGGAGAGGATTTAAATCAATCATGCAGGCTGATTTACTAAGGTTTGTGCTAGTCAGCTTATTGGGATTTGTGCCCAAAAAGCTTGTCTTAAAGGTGCAGTAAGTGATTTCTGAGAAACACAGTTGATTTTTGAAATCACCAAAACATGTCCCTATACTCAAAAGGATCACACCTTATCTTTATGGCTCCGCCCCAAATTCACAAAAATTCACAAACACAGGCACCGCCCCCATTATGAGTGGACATGCCCCTTACTGCTGATTGGCCACAAGTGTGTTTTGGTGCTCGATCCGATCCACTTTCAACAGCGTTTATCAGAAATCACTTACTGCACCTTTAACTCGTTGTGTGTCTGTGTTGTTAGTCGATCA